ATCTTTTAATCATGTTGACCCAGTCCATCCCCTGTTCTGCCTGTCTTTCAACCGGTCACCTCAGCGCGTTTTGCCCATCTATACCCTTTAAGTCTAGCATTCAATCTATTCCTCCTCCGTTCTCTTCTACACTTGCCCAGCCCACAGACCGCCGAGGTAGAAACGTCCAGATATTCAATTCCAGACCCATCTGTAATAAGTTTAATGAAAGTACATGCACCTTTCCTATTGCAGTTTCTCCATATTTGCAGCTTTGCTAGGACGCGCATCCCAGTCCATCTGTCCCCGTCGTGTGCCGTTCATGAGAAATCGTACCTACAAACATTAATAGCCCGTCATCTTCTTCGCCCATCATTATTTCTGAATTGGCAATTTGTCTTACCCATCATCCCGACCGCACTTTCGTCATCTTCATTCTTACCGGTCTGTCTCAAGGTTTTCATGTCGGAGTCATGAAAGAACCAGACGTCGTAGATCACCTGCTTCACAAGTTGTGTCCAAGAGTTTCATGATTGGTCCTTTCAAACATTCTCTGTTTGCTCCCTTTCGTGTGAGCCCCCTAGTGGTAGCTACCCGCTATATTCCGGGAAAAAGAGGCTCATATTGGACTTATCTGCCCCTCATCTGGCCGTCACTCCTCCATAAATAGCCTCTTTCCTCCTTCTCTCTTCACTACGCTTCTGTAGACCACGCTATTTCTCTCATTAAGACCACCGGCCAAGGGGCCTGGCTGGCCAAAGCAGACATTTTCGATGCTTTCAAAATTATTTTCATTCACCCTTCTCAATGGCACCTGTTCCGAGCTAAATGGAAGTCCCTGTTCTACTTTGCTGTCCGTCTCACCTTCGGCTGCAGGAGCTGTTTGACAAAACCTCAGAAGCTCTGTGTTGGATTCTCCTTAATGTTACCCATTTGCCATGCGTTCTTCATCTCAGGATGATTTCCTACGCATAGATCCTCCCTCCATCAGCCCAGTTCGTCACTCCTTAAACTAAAAGCTCTTAACCACTTGGTGTTCCCCTGTCTGAAGAAAAACCATCGGCCCTGTTACAAAATTGTGTTTCTAGGCATAGCTCTCGATTCAGTGGCCATGATGGCATCCCTGCCCGCAGACAAGCTGTCTCGGATTCGTGAGATTTCTCAGTCTTATAGCTCTGCATCAATTATTTCCAAACGTTAGTTGCTTCTTTGCTTGGTCACCTTAATTTCACAAGGTCGTTCCTTCATTTCCCGACTGCTCGACCTAGCTAACTCTGTTCCCTCTCTCTTAGATTAGGTTTCTCTGGACGAAGGTTGCCGTTCCGATCCTTCCTTCTGGGCTAGACTTCTTTGTAAATGGAACGGCAAATCATTTTCTGATGACATCATCCAAACGCTGACACACTCCAATTTTTCACGGATGCTGCCCCATCCGTAGGTTTTGGGGGGGTTCTTTCAGGACAGGTGTTTGCTGGTTCGTGGCCTCCCTCTTTTACTAGTTCTCAGTCATCTGTGCTATTCGAGGTTTACCTTTAGCCGTAGCTTGCCGTCTGCGGGGCCCGCTTTGGAGGAGAAAGCGCATATCCGCTTCTGCGACAACATGGCAGTCGTCGACGCAATCTCTAAGGTCGCTCCTCCTCTCAATCTCTCATGCCATTCATTAGAGGCATAACTTGGCAAGCAGTCTCTAACAACTCCATCATCTCTGCTCGACACATTCCTGGTCTTTCTAACCATGCTGCTGATGCTCTTTCTCGTTTTAACATCTTCGTCCTTCTGCCAAACTCCTTCCGACCCCGTTCCTCCGCTCAAAGAACTCATCCCTGAACTAACCCACTCTCTTCGTTCGTACTTACATCCTCCAGTTTCTACATAAATCAGGTTTAGCTTCACTTCAACTAATAGTCGTTTCGATCCTTCCCGACATTCGTCTCTTTCGGATCTTTGTTTCCATATCGATCTTACAAATATCTTGAATCATTCTAAAGGAAGGCCCTTGTTCTATTTCTATCGCACGTACAGATGGCCCCTTTTGCCCGTTTATCAAAATGTTAAATTTGTCCAAAAGCGCAAAAGTTTTTCCCTCATTTCAAAGCCCCTTCGTCACGCCCGAGGGTTCTCCCGCGTCACCACGCTGGTTCCAAAACCATCTCAGAATACTATTAGAATCCTGTGGCTTTTCATCCAGTCATTATTCCAGCCACTCATTTAGGATAGGGGCAGCCACAAAGCAGCTGCTCGTGGTGTCTCTGTGGCTTCTCTCCAGCAGTTGGGCCGATAGACTTTTTCAGCCTATAAATCCTATATCCGCCCTGAACACTCTTCAATCTTAGCAGCTCATCGCTCTCTCTGTCTGTAAGGTAAGCTAACTTCGAATACTGGTGGTGGTTTAAAATATATTCTCATCTTTGCTAAATCATTGCTCCCTGCTATGCTCCCTGTGTGTTCCCTGCCATGTTCCCTGCCTCATTCCCCGCCTTGCATTCTGCCATGCTCCCTGGGTGTTCCCTGCCATGCTTCCTGCCATGCTCCCCGTGAGTCATGTTCCCTGCCATGCGCCCTGCCACGCTCCCTGCCATGCTCCCCGTGTGATCCCTGCCACTATACCTGCCTGCCACGCTCCCTGTGGTCCCTTGCCTTGTTCCCTGCCATGCTCCCTGTGTGATCCCTGCCATGCTCCCTGTGGTCCCCTGCCTTGTTCCCTGCCATGATCCCTGTGTGATCCCTGCCATGCTCCCTGTGGTCCCTGGCCTTGTTCCCTGCCATGCTCCCTGTGGTCCCTGGCCTTGTTCCCTGCCATGCTCCATGTGTGTTCCCTGCCACGCTCCCTGCTATGCTCCCTGTGGTCCCCTGCCTTGTTCCCTGCCATGCTCCCTGTGTGTTCCCTGCCATGCTCCCTGTGGTCCCTGGCCTTGTTCCCTGCCATGCTCCCTGTGTGTTCCCTGCCATGCTCCCTGTGGTCCCTGGCCTTGTTCCCTGCCATGCTCCCTGTGGTCCCTGGCCTTGTTCCCTGCTATGCTCCCTGTGTGTTCCCTGCCATGCTCCCTGTGGTCCCTGGCCTTGTTCCCTGCCATGCTCCCTGTGGTCCCTGGCCTTGTTCCCTGCCATGCTCCCTGTGGTCCCCTGCCTTGTTCCCTGCCATGCTCCCTGTGTGTTCCCTGCCATGCTCCCTGTGGTCCCTGGCCTTGTTCCCTGCCATGCTCCCTGTGGTCCCTGGCCTTGTTCCCTGCTATGCTCCCTGTGGTCCCCTGCCTTGTTCCCTGCCATGCTCCCTGTGTGTTCCCTGCCATGCTCCCTGTGGTCCCTGGCCTTGTTCCCTGCCATGCTCCCTGTGTGTTCCCTGCCATGCTCCCTGTGGTCCCTGGCCTTGTTCCCTGCCTGCTCCCTGTGTGTTTCCAACCATGCTTCCTCGCCACATCCCCTGTCGTTTCCTGCCTTGCTTTCAGCTATGCTCCCTGCAATGTTTCCTATGCTTCCTGCAATGCACCCTGCTAAGCATTCTGCAAACTCCTTTATTTTCTCTCTACCATGCTCACTGCTATGATCCCTGTCATGATTATTCATTTATCACGTGTATCAGCCTGTGCATAATGAAGTCCTTCTGTGCTCATCCTTCTCCCTCCGCTTTCTGCATATGCTGGCGCTCAGGCCTGAACCTCTGCAATTTTGGGGGGGAATATCCTTATTCTCATACATCAGTTTATCTGCATTAAAGTATTAATCAGCGTTTATGTTTCCTGCCGAGGCCTGAGCGCCAAAGTTCAAACTATCGTATCAATAAACTCTTCTAATTGCATCTTTCTCTCTCTGTGAGTTTTTCAGATTGAAATGAAGCTAAGGCGGAAATTCAACTGAAGAAACTCTGATTACTTCCATTCAATCTGAGGCTGATCCGCCTCCAATGCAGCCAACCCGTTTCAAGCCACTTTCCTCGATGCCCAATCATCTTCCAGCACTCTACTTAAAGCCACTCCAAATCATCTCTAGGCCTGCTCTTCAACAAGTGCAAGATCCATCGCTCCTATGTCGGACTTTGATTCAGACAACCCACCTCCATCCCCTTCTCCACCATTGTAGTAAGCTCATCTGACTCCTCCTCGATGCTCCTTCAACCTCACCTCCAGTGTGTACTCCCTCCAGACTTTCGTGGAGTTCCCTGTCACTTTAAACGGTCCGGCAGAAGACCGCCACGTTGAGCCTGGTTCTGCCAGAGATTTCTTCCCAAAGGGGAGTTTTTTCTCTCCACAGTCGCTTCATGCTTGCTCTTCATGGACAGTTTATGCAAACTTTGTTCATTCAGTGACATCTAACTCAAGCATCACCCTGTATACCAGCCTCTATGGATTAACCAAACTTCATCTATCTAAACTCCACCACCAGTTTCAGGCCCGGGGGGAATATCCTCATTCTCATACATCAGTTTATCTGCATTAAAGTATTAATCAGCGTTTATGTTTCCTGCCGAGGTCTGAGCGCCAAAGTTCAAACTATCAATATCAATAAACTCTTCTAATTGCATCTTTCTCTCTCTGTGAGTTTTTCAGATTGAAATACTGTTCTCCTCTGGGATGCCTGTTTCAGAGCTAAAAACTGAGCGCTGTGACAGCACAGGCTGCTCCTGCTGTAAGAGGTTTAGATCTGAGGTCAAAAGTTCATGAGCAGAACCCTCTTTGGAAGGGTGGTTGTCCCTAAAAGTCCCTAAAAATAAAGCAGTCTGACCCCCATTCACAAAAAGCAGACACACATGTTTAGTTCTTAAGGGAAAGAGAAAGATTTCCTTCAGTGGAAAGTAAAAAACTCTCAGTTTTTCCATAGTTGTTCAGGTCACACACATTTATATTATTAACTTGGTTTCTTAAGTCCATTCTAGAGGCTGAAAGTCAGTAGGGTTTTAGATATTTCTGTGGTTTAACACACCTGATCCAGAAGAGCTCTGCTTAGCCTGAAAGTCAGCCACAACAGTATTAAACATGCTGAGCAGTTTTAACCAAAGTAACTCCAATACATGTTCTTCACTGCAGTGGCTTGTGGCAACTCAAACCCTCCTACCCGTCAATATATCATTGTTGATGAGCTGAAGAACTGGGCTGGAGCTCGGAGCTACTGCAGAGACCATCACACTGACCTGGCAACCTTGGAGAACATGGAGGATGTGAGGATGCTGGCTGACCTGGGAGCCTCTCTGGCTAACAGCTCTGTAAGTCCACCTTACTGTGATCTGACTGGGCTTTGAATGTGGCACTGGGTGATCACAGGAAGCTATACAGAAGTTCTGTGGAGGTAGATTGGCGACACTGTCAATAAAAAAACAGCAGAAAATTCAGAGGAGGTATCAAAATGTAGGGTTTCCTGCAGCCTCTGACCAAGTTCTGCTTCCAGGCGGTCTGGATCGGATTGTATGCAGATGTGAACAGCTGGAAGTGGTCCATCTCGGATGGGGATCAGCAGGAGGAGAAGCAGTTCTGGAACTGGTACACTGGAGAACCGAACAATGACTTTGGAATAGAGAGCTGTGCTGCCATTGACATTGATGGGTCCTATTATGACGTCCCCTGCTCTCTGACCTTAGGGACGCTCTGCGTTGAAGAAAAGGGTGAGGATTGTTTTCCTTCTGCTCTTCACTTCAACTTCTCTGATTCTCATTCAAGGTGATCTTCTTGTCTGTACATCATCTTAATTGGGTCATTTTTTTTTAGAGACTCGCAAGTTTTGGTACAACAACCAAGAAAGGACCTGGAGCGAAGCCCAGAGCTACTGCAGGGAGCGCTACACAGACCTGGCCAACATAAGAGACACCTCTGAAAACCAGAGGATCAAGAACTTGATCACACGGCCAGTCTGGATGGGTCTGTACCGAGACCCCTGGAAGTGGGTGGAGGGAAGGAAGTCCTCCTTCAGGTTCTGGAACATCTTTAACCCTGATAGCAGGAAGAATGAATGTGCTGCTGCCAACTTTGGAAATGGTGGGAAGTGGGAGAAATGGAGCTGTGCTGAGAAGAAAGCCTTCATCTGTTCTGCTGGTGAGGAATCCTGCAGCGTTAGCAGCTGCAGATCAGTTCATGTTTCAGTCATACTTTGAAATAAGACATAAACACTGATCAATCACTCCAACATGAAACAAAAAAACGCTTGTTTGACCAACTGGAGAAAAAGTTCAACAGTTTCAAGCTTAACTCCCACTGAGAGAAATGTCATGTTATAAAGACGACAAAGCAAAGCTGTAGTCTGTATGAAAACAATGATCAGTGAGGTTGTTGGTGCAAAGCTGAGGGAGGCTTAGGCAGTGATCAACCTTCCTTCATTTATCCTGCAGATTATCTGGTAGAAAAGCTCAGAGTCTGCAGAGGTGTTTACTGCAGGAACTTTAATATCCATCCTCTAAAGGCGGTTTTAGTTTTATTCTTTAACTTTATTGGTGGTTTAGCTGCAGAAAACATTTTTCTTCTGACATAATTGTTGAAGATCCGTCCCGGTGATTGCTGCATGCTAAATGGACGGACTAAGCATGAAGGTCTGACCGCTGGTGGAGCCGTGCAGTTGGATGTTTGCTATAAAGGAGCTTTCTGCTGCTGGAATGAAGCATGATTCCAGACTAACGGAGATCTTTCCTTCTCCCAGTTCCGTCCTCTAAGCAGATAGTGAAACTGAAGCTCCTCTTCTCCTCATCTGCGGCTCAGAATCAGCCTGCTGTTCTGGACGAGCTGCTCAGGAAGGTAGAACATCTTCATTTATTGGATCAGAACCCCGTTTGTGTGAAGAGAGATTAATGCTCAGGAAATATCTGTGTTTCAGCTGAAGCAGAAGCTGCAGGACGATGGCGTGAGAGGAGACCTGAAGCTGAGCTGGAGGAAACAACCAGATGGACGGGTCCTCAAGAAGGACAAGAAGAAGAAAGACGAACTTTAAGCTGGAGTCTTTTTTTTTAAAGGGTTTCTGGGTACAGATCTGTAGGAAATAGATGAAACCATATTAGAAATTAGTTCCAGATTTCAACAGAAACTGTTAAAGGAGGAAACATCGAACTGTATGTCAGACTTAAAGATCTGCTAGGAGAAGGAGGACAAACAGGAGGAACAAACCTCCCTTTGAAATCTCCATTTAATCTGAATTAATAACAAAAATAAAGATTTTATTTAAAATCCATCAACTAAAGGTTATTGATTCCTGATCAAATAAATCACTGAATAAAACATCCAAATAATTTACTTCATTTTCATTGAATCGGTTTGAAAACATTAAATTGCTCTAAATTAGTGAATTTGATCACATCCCAAATACTTCAGGATAAACTTTGGTTCTTAAACATAAAATCATAATAATCTGTGAAATCTTTGCATCATCGTCTCATTATGGTTTCCAACCTTGTTTTCACTCTTTGTTCATAGTAGTTTAGTTAAACTAGTTTTTAATCAAGAGTTTTGAACTGAAATCTGTTTGACCACTGTTAAGGAAGAAAATATTCTAACATAGTTAACTTTGGAAAAAGGTTGGCTTTTCATTTCTTCCCTTCCCAGGTCCACTCGGCGAGCTGCGTTTGGTAATAAAAACCAGCATTGCGTGTTGACATCACAGAATTACAGACTTTAATCCAATATAAGACAATGCATACACTTAGAAATAAGACAATGCACAAATCTACACCAGAAACTGCAGAACAACAGAGACATACATTCCATTACCTGACATAGGAGGAAAGAAAGCAAAGACGTACAAAGACATCTTTGGAGAGTTTGCAGGCGCAAATCTGATTTTTTACTTCTATGTAAAAAGCTTTATCCTCTTGTATTTAATTTATTCACATAAGGCTGGCCCTTGGTCCTCCAACCAGACGCCATCTCTGACACTGCCTAGAACTTCACCTAATTTACTGCAAACATCTGGGGTCAATTGCTTCTTTGTTTTAACAAGAAAAGGCGGAAAGCTTGTCCTGGCATCTAGAATTCTTAGGGTCATAAAACACAAGATAAGCTTCCACAGACAGCTTGTGGAATGCGGGGGCCTCACCATAAATTCTCAAGAACAAACTTAAATTTAGTAATCTGGTTCAAGGAAAGGTTATCTTCACAAACTTGTTCAAAATAAGAAATATGTTCACAAGGAGAGTATACAACATACCTTTTACACATGCCATAAGATTAACTGTATTAAAGACTAAAAATAATAATTTTTCTTTAACACCACTCAGGTCTTCTGGCTCCAGCCTGCTCTGCATACCTAGAACCAGAACTAAACATGGAGAAGCAGCATTTAGTTCCTATGCTCCACTTATCTGGAACAAACTTCCAGAAAACTGTAAAAGTGCAGAAAGCCTGAGTTCCTTTAAATCAAGACTAAAAACACATTTGTTTAGGATTGCCTTCCACTGTTCTAGTTAAACAGTTCAACTAAAACATATTTTCTTTAATCCAACTGTTTTTAATATTCTTTTTTTGTTTCTGCATTTTTTATTTTTTCCTACTTGCTTTGATTCTGTTTTATCTTCCTGTATTTTAATCATGTAAAGCACTTTGCATTGTCTTTGTACTGAATTGTGCTATACAAATAAATTTGCCTTGCCTTGTAGCTGAATGTTTTTAGTTAATAAACTCTTATTTTACTGGAAGTTGTGGTGAATTTATTCCATATCTCTGCAGAAGGATCTGATTTGAGCTCGATTTACACTTTCATCTGTAGTTTTAACACACAGCCAGTAGGGGGCGTGTTCAGAAACAATACATGAAAGTCCAAATGTTATAGGGGGACATCTGATTGGAGGAAAGGATGAAGGGTTAAGAAACAGAAACGCTGACAGGTCAGTCTTCCTTCACATTAACAGATTAGCAGCATAGAGAGGAAAAATAACACAAGAAAATTAGAATAAGGATTCATAAGGATGAGAATAAGCTTCAAACATTTTGTTCAGCTAAGTGTTTTATTAGAATTTTATAATCTGCTTCCACCCGTTTTTTGACGACCATAATATTTTCATGTGAAATTAAAGGCTGAAGCATCAGGCGGGACCCTAAAAAAGGACGACCATTTCATGTTTAACACTGAAAACAAAACAAAACGCAGAACTGATTCAGGAACTGGTTTTTATTAATGCAACATTTTGTTTTAAAAGATTTTTTTTCAATTTTCATAGAAAACCTCAAACAGGGGCAACAATCTTGATGCCAGGAACTGATAGCACATAAAAACAATGGATATAACCAACGATACAGCAGGAAGCCGAGGCTGCTGAAGTATTTCCACTCTTCTACGTGTCGGATAACGTAGCTGCAGAGGAGCAGTCCAGATGTGAGCACTGCTGGCTGATGATGTGGTCTCTGACCTCAGGGCTGGGATTGAACCATTAACCTCTGATTCTCGCCAGCGTCCTGTTCTAATGCTTCCAGTGTCATGAGGGAGACTCATGCTAGCTGAACTTTAGCTTTACCTGCAGACATTTAAATGGTCACAAATGTCTGAATAAAACCCATTTAGTAAAATAAGTGGAAAAGTACATTTTGAGTTGAAAACATTAAAAGGGCTGTTTGAACATCAACTACCTGCAGCGCCCCCTAGTGAGACTAATAGACCAGCCCAGGTTGGATGGGTTTAATTAGAGCCTCATTATGCTGCTATGATAGATTCATCTTTCATTTTTAGTTCATTCTGCTTTTCATGCTGAACTAAAGTCTGTTTTCAGAAACAGGAACCAAACAGAAGCAGAAGTTCCTGTTTTTCTCCAATTAGTCTGAAAATCTCTAGAAAAGAAAACCGAGAGCAAAAGGTTTTATGTCCAAATTTCTCTGCAGCGAATGTTTCAGAACGATGTTTGAAGCTGGAGGTCCTGCAGAATCGAGACACAGAGACACGCTAACGGTACTTTGAGGAGACCAAACAGCTAGAAAACAAACATGTAGAAGCGCTGGAGAAGAGCTCCAGTGGTACCAGGAAGAGTTCAGTAGTTCACCAGGTCCTTCAGCGCTCTGAACTCATCCTGTCTGCTTCGGTGGAGTCTCTCTCACCTGATCGGCTCCGAGATGAACTCACCAGCTTCTCTGGTCTCCACTGCCCTGTTTCCATGATGACGGCGATGCAGCAGGAGGTCCGTCTGCTCTGAAATGACAGGAAGAGCTGATGAGACCACATGCAGCAGAACCCCAGGAATGATGCTGAAACCAGAACACTGTTAGGACTAGGAACCAGGAGCACAACACAGACGCTCCTCCCTCAGCCTGCGGCGCCGCTCCTCCCTCAGCCTGCAATGCTCCTCCCTCAGCCTGCAGCGCCGCTCCTCCCTCAGCCTGTGGCGCCGTTTCTCCCTCAGCCTGCAGCGCCGCTCCTCCCTCAGCCTGCGGCGCCGTTTCTCCCTCAGCCTGCAGCGCCGCTCCTCCCTCAGCCTGCGGCGCCGCTCCTCCCTCAGCCTGCGGCGCCGTTTCTCCCTCAGCCTGCGGCGCCGCTCCTCCCTCAGCCTGCGGCGCCGCTCTTCCCTCAGCCTGAAGCGCCGCTCCTCCCTCAGCCTGCAGCAATGCTCCACCCTCAGCCTGCAGCGCCGTTCCTCCCTCAGCCTGCAGCGCCGTTCCTCCCTCAGCCTGCAGCGCCGCTCCTCCCTCAGCCTGCAATGCTCCTCCCCTCAGCCTGCGGCGCCGCTCCTCCCTCAGCCTGCAACGCCGTTCCACCCTCAGCCTGCAGCGCCGTTCCTCCCTCAGCCTGCAGCGCCGCTCCTCCCTCAGCCTGCAATGCTCCTTCCCTCAGCCTGCGGCGCCGCTCCTCCCTCAGCCTGCGGCGCCGCTCCTCCCTCAGCCTGCGGCGCCGCTCCTCCCTCAGCCTGCGCCGCCGCTCCTCCCTCAGCCTGCGCCGCCGCTCCTCCCTCAGCCTGCGGCGCCGCTCCTCCCTCACCCTGCGGCGCCGCTCCTCCCTCAGCCTGCGGCGCCGCTCCTCCCTCAGCCTGCGGCGCCGCTCCTCCCTCACCCTGCAACGCTCCTCCCTCAGCCTGCAGCGCCGCTCCTCCCTCAGCCTGCAATGCTCCTCCCTCAGCCTGCAATGCTCCTCCCTCAGCCTGCAGCGCCGCTCTTCCCTCAGCCTGCAATGCTCCTCCCTCACCCTGCAGCGCTGCTCCTCCCTCACCCTGCAGCGCCGCTCCTCCCTCACCCGGCAGTGCCGCTCCTCCCTCAGCCTGCAATGCTCCTCCCCTCAGCCTGCGGCGCCGCTCCTCCCTCAGCCTGCAATGCTCCTCCCTCAGCCTGCGGCGCCGCTCCTCCCTCACCCTGCGGCGCCGCTCCTCCCTCAGCCTGCGGCGCCGCTCCTCCCTCACCCTGCAACGCTCCTCCCTCAGCCTGCAGCGCCGCTCCTCCCTCAGCCTGCAATGCTCCTCCCTCAGCCTGCAATGCTCCTCCCTCAGCCTGCAGCGCCGCTCTTCCCTCAGCCTGCAATGCTCCTCCCTCACCCTGCAGCGCTGCTCCTCCCTCACCCTGCAGCGCCGCTCCTCCCTCACCCGGCAGTGCCGCTCCTCCCTCAGCCTGCAATGCTCCTCCCCTCAGCCTGCGGCGCCGCTCCTCCCTCAGCCTGCAATGCTCCTCCCTCAGCCTGCAATGCTCCTCCCTCACCCTGCAGCGCTCCTCCCTCACCCTGCAGCGTCGCTCCTCCCTCACCCTGCAGCGTCGCTCCTCCCTCACCCTGCAGCGCCGCTCCTCCCTCAGCCTGCAATGCTCCTCCCTCAGCCTGCAGCGCCGCTCCTCCCTCAGCCTGCAATGCTCCTCCCTCAGCCTGCAATGCTCCTCCCTCAGCCTGCAGCGCCGCTCCTCCCTCAGCCTGCAGCGCTGCTCCTCCCTCAGCCTGCAATGCTCCTCCCTCAGCCTGCAGCGCCGCTCCTCCCTCAGCCTGCAGCGCCGCTCCTCCCTCAGCCTGCAGCGCCGCTCCTCCCTCAGCCTGCAATGCTCCTCCCCTCAGCTTGCGGCGCCGCTCCTCCCTCAGCCTGCGGCGCCGCTCCTCCCTCAGCCTGCAATGCTCCTCCCTCAGCCTGCAATGCTCCTCCCTCAGCCTGCAGCGCCGCTCCTCCCTCAGCCTGCAGCGCCGCTCCTCCCTCAGCCTGCAATGCTCCTCCCTCAGCCTGCAGCGCCGCTCCTCCCTCAGCCTGTAGCACCGCTCCTCCCTCAGCCTGCAGCACCGCTCCTCCCTCAGCCTGCAATGCTCCTCCCTCAGCCTGCAGCGCCGCTCCTCCCTCAGCCTGCAGCGCCGCTCCTCCCTCAGCCTGCAATGCTCCTCCCTCAGCCTGCAATGCTCCTCCCTCAGCCTGCAGCGCCGCTCCTCCCTCAGCCTGCAATACTCCTCCCTCAGCCTGCAATGCTCCTCCCTCAGCCTGCAATGCTCCTCCCTCAGCCTGCGGCGCCGCTCCTCCCTCAGCCTGCGGCGCCGCTCCTCCCTCAGCCTGCAATGCTCCTCCCTCAGCCTGCAGCGCGTCTCCTCCCTCAGCCTGCAGCGCCGCTCCTCCCTCAGCCTGCAATGCTCCTCCCTCAGCCTGCGGCGCCGCTCCTCCCTCAGCCTGCAATGCTCCTCCCTCACCCTGCAGCGCCGCTCCTCCCTCAGCCTGCAATGCTCCTCCCTCAGCCTGCAGCGCCGCTCCTCCCTCAGCCTGCAATGCTCCTCCCTCAGCCTGCAATGCTCCTCCCTCAGCCTGCAGCGCCGCTCCTCCCTCAGCCTGCAATGCTCCTCCCTCAGCCTGCAATGCTCCTCCCTCAGCCTGCAGCGCCGCTCCTCCCTCAGCCTGCAGCGCCGCTCCTCCCTCAGCCTGCAGCGCCGCTCCTCCCTCAGCCTGCAATGCTCCTCCCTCAGCCTGCTGCGCCGCTCCTCCCTCAGCCTGCAATGCTCCTCCCTCACCCTGCAGCGCCGCTCCTCCCTCAGCCTGCAATGCTCCTCCCCTCAGCCTGCGGCGCCGCTCCTCCCTCAGCCTGCGGCGCCGTTCCTCCCTCAGCCTGCAATGCTCCTCCCTCAGCCTGCAGCGCCGCTCCTCCCTCAGCCTGCAATGCTCCTCCCTCAGCCTGCAATGCTCCTCCCTCAGCTGCAGCGCCGCTCCTTCCTATTGCCGCCCCTCCCAGCCTGCAATGCTCCTCCCTCACCTTCTCCTAGCCAGCTAAGCTCCTCCCTCACCCTGCAGCGCCGCTCCTCCCTCACCCGGCAGTGCCGCTCCTCCCTCCAGCCTGCAATGCTCCTCCCTCACCTGCGCGCCGCTCCTCCCTCAGCCTGCAATGCTCCTCCCTCAGCCTGCGGCGCCGCTCCTCCCTCAGCCCTGCGGCGCCGCTCCTCCTCCCGCCTGCGGCTCCCTCGCCCCCTCCCTCCACCTGCAGCGCTCCCTCCCTCAGCCCGCAGCGCCGCTCCTCCCCTCAGCCTGCACGTGCTCCTCCCTCAGCCTGGGGGCTCCTCCCCCAGCCTGCAGCGCCGCTCCTTCCCTCAGCCTGCAATGCTCCTCCCTCAGCCTGCAGCGCCGCTGCTCCCTCCCTCACCCTTCCCCCAGCCGACCGCTCCTCCCTCAGCCTGCAATGCTCCTCCCTCAGCCTGCAATGCTCCTCCCTTAGCCTGCAGCGCCGCTCCTCCCTCAGCCTGCAATGCTCCTCCCTCAGCCTGCAATGCTCCTCCCTCAGCCTGCAATGCTCCTCCCTCAGCCTGCGGCGCCGCTCCTCCCTCAGCCTGCGGCGCCGCTCCTCCCTCAGCCTGCAATGCTCCTCCCTCAGCCTGCAGCGCGTCTCCTCCCTCAGCCTGCAGCGCCGCTCCTCCCTCAGCCTGCAATGCTCCTCCCTCAGCCTGCGGCGCCGCTCCTCCCTCAGCCTGCAATGCTCCTCCCTCACCCTGCAGCGCCGCTCCTCCCTCAGCCTGCAATGCTCCTCCCTCAGCCTGCAGCGCCGCTCCTCCCTCAGCCTGCAATGCTCCTCCCTCACCCTGCAGCGCCGCTCCTCCCTCAGCCTGCAATGCTCCTCCCTCAGCCTGCAGCGCCGCTCCTCCCTCAGCCTGCAATGCTCCTCCCTCAGCCTGCAATGCTCCTCCCTCAGCCTGCAGCGCGTCTCCTCCCTCAGCCTGCAGCGCCGCTCCTCCCTCAGCCTGCAATGCTCCTCCCTCAGCCTGCGGCGCCGCTCCTCCCTCAGCCTGCAATGCTCCTCCCTCACCCTGCAGCGCCGCTCCTCCCTCAGCCTGCAATGCTCCTTCCCTCAGCCTGCGGCGCCGCTCCTCCCTCAGCCTGCGGCGCCGCTCCTCCCTCAGCCTGCAATGCTCCTCCCTCAGCCTGCAATGCTCCTCCCTCAGCCTGCAATGCTCCTCCCTCAGCCTGCAATGCTCCTCCCTCAGCCTGCAGCGCCGCTCCTCCCTCAGCCTGCAGCGCTGCTCCTCCCTCAGCCTGCAGCGCCGCTCCTCCCTCAGCCTGCAGCGCCGCTCCTCCCTCAGCCTGCAGCGCTGCTCCTCCCTCAGCCTGCAATGCTCCTCCCTCAGCCTGCAATGCTCCTCCCTCAGCCTGCAATGCTCCTCCCTCAGCCTGCAGCGCTGCTCCTCCCTCAGCCTGCAGCGCTGCTCCTCCCTCAGCCTGCAGCGCCGCTCCTCCCTCAGCCTGCAGCGCCGCTCCTCCCTCAGCCTGCAGCGCTGCTCCTCCCTCAGCCTGCAATGCTCCTCCTCCCTCAGCCTGCAATGCTCCTCCCTCAGCCTGCGGCGCCGCTCCTCCCTCAGCCTGCGGCGCCGCTCCTCCCTCACCCTGCGGCGCCGCTCCTCCCTCACCCTGCGGCGCCGCTCCTCCCTCACCTTGCAATGCTCCTCCCTCAGCCTGCGGCGCCGCTCCTCCCTCAGCCTGCGGCGCCGCTCCTCCCTCAGCCTGCAATGCTCCTCCCTCAGCCTGCAATGCTCCTCCCTCAGCCTGCGGCGCCGCTCCTCCCTCAGCCTGCAATGCTCCTCCCTCAGCCTGCAATGCTCCTCCCTCAGCCTGCAGCGCCGCTCCTCCCTCAGCCTGCAATGCTCCTCCCTCACCCTGCAGCGCCGCTCCTCCCTCACCCTGCAGCGCCGCTCCTCCCTCAGCCTGCAATGCTCCTCCCCTCAGCCTGCGGCGCCGCTCCTCCCTCAGCCTGCGGCGCCGCTCCTCCCTCAGCCTGCAATGCTCCTCCCTCAGCCTGCAGCGCCGCTCCTCCCTCAGCCTGCAATGCTCCTCCCTCAGCCTGCAGCGCCGCTCCTCCCTCAGCCTGCAGCGCTGCTCCTCCCTCAGCCTGCAGCGCCGCTCCTCCCTCAGCCTGCAGCGCTGCTCCTCCCTCAGCCTGCAATGCTCCTCCCTCAGCCTGCAATGCTCCTCCCTCAGCCTGCAATGCTCCTCCCTCAGCCTGCGGCGCCGCTCCTCCCTCAGCCTGCGGCGCCGCTCCTTCCTCAGCCTGCGGCGCCGCTCCTCCCTCAGCCTGCAATGCTCCTCCCTCAGCCTGCAATGCTCCTCCCTCAGCCTGCAATGCTCCTCCCTCAGCCTGCAGCGCTGCTCCTCCCTCAGCCTGCAATGCTCCTCCCTCAGCCTGCAATGCTCCTCCCTCAGCCTGCAATGCTCCTCCCTCAGCCTGCGGCGCCGCTCCTCCCTCAGCCTGCAATGCTCCTCCCTCAGCCTGCAATGCTCCTCCCTCAGCCTGCAATGCTCCTCCCTCAGCCTGCAGCGCGTCTCCTCCCTCAGCCTGCAGCGCCGCTCCTCCCTCAGCCTGCAATGCTCCTCCCTCAGCCTGCGGCGCCGCTCCTCCCTCAGCCTGCAATGCTCCTCCCTCACCCTGCAGCGCCGCTCCTCCCTCAGCCTGCAATGCTCCTCCCTCAGCCTGCAGCGCCGCTCCTCCCTCAGCCTGCAATGCTCCTCCCTCACCCTGCAGCGCCGCTCCTCCCTCACCCTGCAGCGCCGCTCCTCCCTCAGCCTGCAATGCTCCTCCCCTCAGCCTGCGGCGCCGCTCCTCCCTCAGCCTGCAATGCTCCTCCCTCAGCCTGCAATGCTCCTCCCTCAGCCTGCAGCGCCGCTCCTCCCTCAGCCTGCAATGCTCCTCCCTCAGCCTGCAATGCTCCTCCCTCAGCCTGCAGCGCCGCTCCTCCCTCAGCCTGCAGCGCCGCTCCTCCCTCAGCCTGCAGCGCCGCTCTTCCCTCAGCCTGCAGCGCTGCTCCTCCCTCAGCCTGCAATGCTCCTCCCTCAGCCTGCAGCGCCGCTCCTCCCTCAGCCTGCAATGCTCCTCCCTCAGCCTGCAATGCTCCTCCCTCACCCTGCAGCGCCGCTCCTCCCTCAGCCTGCAGCGCTGCTCTTCAGGACCAGTTTTCTTACCAGTTGCAAGGGATGTAAATCCGACCCAGCATGGCGATTCAATTCAGTATCAATTTCGTGACCCAACGTTTCCATTATTTTCTTTACTCAAGAATCCGCCATGTCTGTCTTGCCTACTGTTTACGTGAGTGTGTGTGCGCCAGCGGAAAGAGGGTAGTGGCTAAAGGAAGCGAGGTAGGAAGGCAAAATAGGCTTAGCGCCACCGCAGCACCGGAGTCAGAATACATCCAGGAGCAAATGGATAAAAATAGAGGAAAATAAAAACATGAACCGATACTCTTGCAGACGTGTCGATGCATCGGATCGTCGGATGTTGGATCGATGCATCGCTACAAAACGATTATTATTTACACCCCTACCAGTGGCCCTTAGCGGCGGTGCTCCTCCTCTGCTGTGAGATGCTGTAGATCTCCTGGAGTTGTTTTTTCTGATCGTCGCTGAGTGGAGCGGTCAAACACTGGTACCAGGCTGCATTGCTGTTCTGAATCCCTGAAACACAGAAACTCTCAGTGAGCCTCAGTCAGAGGAACAGCAGCGTGGAAAACATCACCTGCATTGATGGAGGTACAGGTACCGCTGGGAGAACTCAACTAATTTCAGTTCTAGGTTTGCAACACAGATCCGCTCAGCAGCTGGAGACGATTTATATCGGTTTATCTTTGCACCTTTTTTAAGAAAGTTAACATGAAGCTGATGCCTCTAGGAAAGTAAAAACCCTGCCTAGTTTTCCTGCATCCTGCACATTTAACAGATGAAGGAAATCTAGAGGGTGATCCTGCTGCTTTTGGTGAGACGTATCGTGTTCACTTCCTGTTTGGATTAACTGAGTGTTGTTGCTGTCCAGACAATCTCCATCTGAAGTAATTTTTTCTGTGATATCTCTGGATGTCAGTAACTCTAACTGACAAGAACCACTTTAAAACACCTTCTGCTGCACTTTTCTACTGAGCACTTGTCAGTTTCACACGGTTTTATTTCTGATAGCAAGGAGTAGCTAGCCTAGGCTAGCGCTAGCTTAGCATTGCTATGGCTTCTCTCTCTCCCTCCCTTGACTCTTTTCAACTCTCTTCCTCTCCTCTCTCCTGCTCTCTCTGTCAGATGTTCAGTTATTCCTCTGCCTCCTTTAGTGATAATGGGATGTGTAATAAGTGTAGTATTTTTGTAGCTTTGGAGGCGAGGGTGTCAGAGTTAGAATCCAGGCTTCAGGCTGTAGAACATCCAGGAGTTAAAGTAGGCCCCCCACCTAGCTGTCCTCCAAAAGTGCCTGAGCAGCCAGGCGATTGGGTAACTGTACGCAGAAAGCGTAGTCGTGGATCTCTACCCACTGGTCACCACCAACCCGTTCACGTTTCTAACCGGTTTTCCCCACTCAGTGACACACCCACTGAGAAGCCCACTCTGGTGATTGGCAGCTCCATAGTCAGAAACGTGGCATTAGAGACACCAGGGACCATAGTCAAATGTTTGCCGGGGGCCAGAACGGGCGACATCAAATCCTACCTGAAACTACTGGCTAAGGATAAGGTTAAATACAGTAAGATTGTTATTCACGCTGGCGGTAATGACACCCGGTTACGCCGATCGGAGGTCACTAAAATTAGTGTTGCTTCGGTGTGTAAGTTTGCCAAAAAAATGTCGGACTCCGTAATTTTCTCTGGTCCCCTCCCTGATCTGACCAGTGATGACATGTTTAGCCGCATGTCGTCATTCAACCGCTGGTTGTCTAGGTGGTGCCCTGAAAACAACGTGGGCTACATTAATAATTGGCAATCCTTTTGGGGAAAGCCTGGTCTGATTCGGAGAGACGGCATCCATCCCACTTTGGATGGTGCAGCTCTTCTTTCTAGGAATCTGGCCACATTTATTAGTCCTCCAAAACCCTGACCACCCAGGGTGCAGACCAGGAAGCAGAGTTGTAGTTTAACACACATCTCTGCAGCTTCTCTACTGTTACCCACTCTTTACTCCATCCAGACAGTGTCTTGCCCACGACCAAAATCTAATAAATTAGCAAAGATTCCCAAAGGAGTAAATCATGATAATCTAATTAAAATCAAAATAGTTAAAACAATTAAATGTGGTATGTTTAACATAAGATCTCTTTCCTCTAAAAGTCTGCTAGTTAATGACTTGATTTGTGATAATCACATTGACTTGTTTTGCCTTACAGAAACCTGGCTGCAGCAAGAGGATTATGTGAGCATAAATGAGGCAACTCCTTCAAGCTTTTTAAATTTTCACATACCCAGAAGTTCTGGGCGAGGAGGAGGAGTAGCAACAATCTTCGAGTCTGACTTACTGATTACTCCCAGAACAGTTAATACCTACAACTCTTTTGAACATTTAACCCTTAATTTCCCTGATCCAAATTTCAAGGCAAGAAAACCTCTTCTTTTTGTAACTTTGTATCGTTCACCAGGTCCTTACTCTGAATTTTTAGATGAGTTTTCAGAGTTCCTTTCTGATTTGGTATTAAAAACTGACAGGGTCATCATAGTGGGAGATTTTAACATCCGTGCTGACATTGAAGGCGATAGCTTAAGAGCAGCCTTTAATGCTATCTTAGACATTATTGGCTTTGTTCAAAATGTGAATAGTCCCACACATTCTCATCTTCATACTTTGGATCTTGTGCTGACATACGGCATAGAATGTGAAGAAATAACAGTATTTCCTCACAACCCTGTCCTCTCTGACCACTTTCCAATAACCTTCAGGATTACTTTAACAGAGTTCTCCTCCCCCAAAAGAAGGTTCAATTTTAGTAGATCTTTATCAGATAGTGCAGTTATAAATTTTAAAGTATCTGCTTCACCTTCTTTCTCCTCTGTGTCGCTGAGCAGTGCTGCAGAGTGCAAAAGCTTAGCTTATTCCCCTTCACAGGTTGATGATTTTGTTGATGGGGTTGCTAGTTCTCTGCCTACTGCCTTAGACAACGCAACTCCTTTGAAAATGAAAACCGTTAAAAATAGAAAGCTTGCTCCTTGCTTTAATGCAGAGCTGCGCACTTTGAAGCAAAATGCTAGGAAACTGGAGAGAAAATATCACTCCACAGGCCTACAGAAATCCTTCCTAGTCTGGAAAAATGGTTTACTGCTGTATAAGAGGACCCTTTGTAAAGCAAGAGCAGCATACTTCTCCTCATTAATAGAGGAGAATAAGAATAATCCTAGATTTTTTTTTTATCCAGTTGCCAAACTCACCCAGAGCCATAGCTCTGTTGAACCGTCCATTCTACCTGCTCTTAGTAGCAATGAATTTATAGGATTCTTTTTAAATAAGATTGATCTTATTAAAAATAAGATCATTAGCACTCCTGTATCCATGATTGGTTTGTCTCTGGAGGGTGGGGCAGCATCTAATGTAGTCATAGAATCTGAACCAGGGTTAGACTGCTTTGATCCAGTTGAACTTTCTGATTTAGCAAAATTATTGTCTTCATCTAAGCCTTCAACTTGTATGTTCCAACCAGGTTATTTAAGGAGCTATTCCCTTTGATCTCCTCCTCCATTTTAGATGTGTTTAATCTATCTCTGTTACAGGGATAGGTACCTAAAGCTTTTAAGGTTGCTGGAATTATTTCTTCAAGAAAAGAAACCAACCAACAAGTAAAAGCAAACGTCTACTGGAAAAGAGAGCCACTTCAACATCCACCTTAAGCAGCATAATTCTATAATGTCAACCATCCAACTCGAAATGCAACTAACGATTATCTCTGTATAATTGATGCTCTCAGTGGGTCGCTCTGCCAGCTAAAGGCATGTTTTATACTGCAGTTAATGATGAATCGATTACTAAGTTAGTTAATGATGATTTCAATAATCAATTAAAACGATTTCAGTCCTACACCCAACCAATCATCGGTCTGTCAGAGCGTCCAACCATCCCTCCGTTTGTGAGTGGGCTACATAGGGGAGTGGTTAGAGCAGTGCTAAGAAGGTTGTAAGTAACCGGTTCGATCCCCACAGCCTGCTCCCCAAGGAGATGGGTTAAATATGAGTTCAATAAAGTTAAGATGGGAGACTATAAACCGATTGATAAACAATCGGTTTAACTGATTAAAAAATTCAGGTGAAACCTTCAAGTCTGCAGTCATGTCCTCCTATCTTCCTCATAATGAAGCACATCAGTTTTTAAGCTAAAGCTGTTCTGTTTCCACTGCATTCAAGATAAAACTAACAACCAGGCCCCATTAGGCAACCGTCATCATCATCATCATCATCATCATCATCATCACTTACTCAGCAGGGCGGAGGTGAAGAACTGGTACTCGTCTTCTCCATTGTCATAGTCCAGAGGTGTGCTGTACTCCTCAAGGGGCGTTCCCTCAAAGGCATCTTCATCCCAGTAATCATCCTCTTCATCATCGTCATCATCGTCATCCCCCTGACCCGCCGTCAGGCTGGCTTGCTGATGTAACTTGTTCTGGCTGTCGTTGACGTCGTCTTCGTCGCTGGGGATCTCCTCTGCTCACAGAGAAAAGCGATCATTCCCTGGATCTTAGAAATACTCTCCGAATTCGGACGGCTTGGTCTTCCTCTACCGTTCTGATCTTCATCATGGAGCCCAGCGCGTGCCAGCAGGTCGGGTTTGTTGATCTGCCGCGATGCATACAGGTGTTTGAGACCCAGGAAAAGGAGCAGGATGGAGGGGATGATCTGACCCGCTACCCTCTGCAGCGCTGCCGGTTGGCTGGGCAGCTCCATTAGCACGCTCAGACCGATGATGCACATCTTCCGGTCATGGAGCCTGAGGAGGGAAGCGGATCATGCCTCGGGTTAGGCTGCTGACATGTTAAAGAGCAAAGATCATGAGTCTGCAGAGGCTGCAACAACCATTTAGCCCCAGAATGGTGCTAAAACTAGAGCTCTGCCCTAGTTTTAGCAGGACGTCTTGGGACTAATGATCAGCAGAGGGAGGAAGAGGAGCCCAGCCTTACCCCAGGAAGAACTCGGTGTCATTGATCCACTGGTTGATGAAGTGGGCTGTGATTGGCTGAGGGCTGTGGGGGAAGTGCATGTTGTCCAGCGTCTGAATGAGCAGGGCGGGGTTGTAGTACAGCGCTGCTATGACCACCTGCAGACATATGGTCCTCAGCTCGCTGGACTTCACGCCACGCATCAGCCGCTCCAGAACGACCTCCACGAACAGAGGGATGCACTGCAGACAGAGAACCAGCTGCTTTCAGTCACACCAGCAGGAAACAGCGAGGAACAGCCTGACCATCATGATGGTTTCTAGACTGACAGGAAACAGCAGCAGCCTAACAGGAAGTAGTGCATCTGACCTGCTCGATGCCTCTGCCTCGGCACTGCAGGATGATCACCTCCAGGAGTTTAGCAGCGTGACATTCTGCATCGTCTCCAGCATCTACGGTCAGCACCTGGAAGGAAGAAGGAGCTGTTAACCATCATCATCATCGTCATCATCATCAGGCAGGGGGGTCCTCCCCTCTCCATCCAGACCTTTTTGCACATGCTGTAGATGACCTCCAGGTGCTTTGGGTTGGACAGCAGCATGTCTGTGTCCACCGTGACGTAGTTGTGCAAAAGCGGCATCATGTCTGCAACACAAACACAGAGTTCTTCAAATAAAACATCAAAGCACGTCTGGAAACGAATGCAGCCGTCTAGTTAAAGCCTGATGGAGTAGAAACGTCTTTAGCTGCTTCTTAGCGTCGGCAGAGTTTCAGCAAGGGAGGAGCCAACAACCTGCACTGAGGTTCAGTGTTTCAGGGTCATGGTAACCCTAAACCTTCAGGATGAAGCCCTGAACATCAGGAACATCTTAAAATGAGACGCTGCAGGAGCATACATCTCAGTTCCTGATTCATCCACCAGGTATTGGATGAAAAATATTCACACTAAGAAACCAGAGCAGAACGCCACCATGACTGGGAGCTGACTGCTAATGGAGGAGGAAACAATTGAAGGAAGAAGATGCAAAGAAAAACTGACCTTTTTAACAGGAAATGGTCAAATAAAGTTATTTATAATGAAGATAACTGCAGCTAAGAAGTTGATCAGTAGGTACTGGCTCTGAGGAAAGGGCTACGCCGCTCCCTGCAGGTTATGCTGCCCCCTGCAGGCTAAAAGCCAGCACCTCTGAGGCAGGATCTGAGTTGGATCAGGTCGGGGTGTTCTGGACTTTAGGCTGCAGAGATTCTGAGGGAAAGTAGAACAATCGGGTCCAGGCTTTGCTGGGCCCGGAGCTCCAACCGTCCCTCCTCACATGCTCCATTTCACGTCCCCCGCAGGCCTGAAGCCACCAACGCTGCCGGTTTCTCTACCTGTGAAGTAGTCGAAGCAGTCGTGCTGGAAGACGTCGTACAGCACCCCCAGTAACTGCCACATCTGAGGGGAGATGGTCTGGCAGGTGAGGCCGAAGGCCAGGGACAGGATCTCCTCGTAGAACTCTGCAGAAGGCAGGAGACCAACATCAGGGCTGGGCAGAGGGAGAGGTGGCCTCCATCACAGAGTGAATGTCTGCAGGAAGCCTTCAGAGGCCACCACCCCCACCAACACACACCTGCCATACCTATGATGGGCTTCTGCAGCACCAGGCCGATCACCTGCAGGCAGATCCCCTCCAGCTGCTGCGTGATCTGAGGAGGAGCAGAAAACCAGCAAACGTTTCCACATGTGGAGCTCAGAGGGCTGCTGGGCCAATGACAGACTGACAGACCTCCCTGTGGTCCTCCATGACGGTGAGGATGGTGTCTATGGTGCTGAGGATGCCCAGAGCCATCACCGTCTTGTCCTCGTTCTCCTCATACTCCTCGCTCTGCAGCACTCTGGTGAAGATCTCCGCCTGGGGGCAGCAAACACAGTCACGCCTCTCCCCACTGCCTCAGAGTTTATCTACCGCCTCCTTCACGCCGTTAGAAATTAGATCTAGAATGTGGAACCTGAGCATCTTCCTACCAGGTTCTGGGTCATGTCCACGGCTATGGTCGCCATCTCCTGGTTGTATTCACAGATCATCTTCTGAATGACGTTGGTCAGGTCGTCGTTCTCCGTCTCTCTGACCACGTGGAGCAGCTGCTGCATCACCTGCCGGATGTGGGGCCTGATGTACAGCTTGGCTGCGCACAGAGCAGAGGAGCAGTGAGACGAGCACACGGCGCCTACGGCGCAGCGGACCGACGCTCGGCGCACCTTGTTCCTGGTTGCTGACCAGCGCCTGCAGAGCGATGGCGGCCTCCACCTTCACAGGCATCTCCTGGTCGTCTACCAGGTCCTGTCTGACCAGCTCCACGGCGTTCCTCAGCACCAGCTCGTCATGGAAACGCAGCGGGCTGAAGCAGTGCAGCACCCAGCAGGACTGGGGGACACGGCAGCAGGTTTAGCCCCGCCCACAGGAGCGTGACAGGCCGGCAGGGCGGCTACTCACCCTGGCTCTGAGGTAACCCATGGGGGCGTTGAGGAGAGGGAACACGTAGTTCTGCAGCATCAGCTCCATCTGCTCCCTGTAGATCCTCTTCTGTGAGGCGAGACGCAGCGACCCAAACATCAGAACCAATCAGAACCAGAGCTCAGCCACACAGGCGCGTCCCATGTACCTTAAGGAGGAGCTCGGCCAGCGCCCCGATGCAGTGCAGCGCCCCGTCCTTACTGCGGGGGTCAGCAGAGGGCTCCACCAGGATGTTGTGGCAGAAGTCCATCATCTGAGGGAGGATCTGAGCAGCAGAGAGCATCACGCAGGTTACCGCCGGTTACACACACCTTCAGACAACCACTCGGCCCTCATTAGAACCGGACGTTACCACCTCCCTGAGAACCTCAGTCTACTCAGTTTAACGCTGTAAATAATCAGGAATCCATCAGGGCTGACTACGATGGCGGCGGCGCTGAACCGAACCAATCAGAGTTCTCCTCATTTCATCCAGAACACAGACACATGGATGCTGTAGCTGGTTCTGGAACCGGCCGCCATCACGACCAGCTAATTGTTCCTCACCTCTTTCCTCTTGCGGGCGGCTTTACAGAGGAGGCTTTGAGCGGCGGCTGCTGGGAGGGAATGGTCGTCATAGAGGTCTGAGGCAGAGGAGCACAGCAGAGGATCAACCAGAACATCTACGGACAGGAAGGGGAAAGCGTGCGCGGCGTCCACTCACTGAACTTCATCCGGATGTACTCGTACGGGTCTTCCTGCCACAGGCGCTCGTCCTCCTCTCTGTAGCACATCAGAGGGAAGATGACCTCCTGGCTGATGGTCTGAAAAACACCAAAGGGTGGAAGGCTGCAGCAGGTTGGAAAGGTCAAAGTTCAGCAACCATGGAAGCAAAGGAGCAGGTTAGTAGGAGGAGCTCTGCCGCCTCGTCCAATCAGCTCCTACCTTCATGTGAGGCTTCATCTGTTTCCAGGTCAGGGAGTGAGACAGGCTCTGGTTCATGTAGGTCAGGCACTGCTGCAGAACCCGCGGCGTGACGTAGAGGCCCCGCCGGTGCTGGTCCACCACCTTCAGCAGGACCTGCGACACAAAGCCCAGAAGCATCCGTCACCTCCATCCTGCGGAGAGTGTGATGTCAGAGCGGCGGTGATGGGAAGGAATCGGCCACTTGCAGCCCTTCCTTTCCGCTGGGCGGCGCCTTGGACGAGGGTTCTGCTCCGTCTGAACCAGGGGCCTTCCCAGCCCCAAAAAACCCCCCCACCCCCCAGGACGCACGCTGACCTGCTGTATGCCCACCGCGTACGTCTTCAGGAAGAAGTCGGCAAACTCCTGGTACTCCTTGCTGACGTTGCCGGGGCTTCCGTACCTGCGGTGGAGATGACAGAGCTGAGGACCGGGCCCCATGGTCGCCATGGGAACCACTCTCTCCTGGACTCACCGCTCAAACAGCCGGGTGATGATGCGGAGCGCCCACTTCTTACACTTCCACCAGGCCAGCTCCGGCCGGTCGTCCTCATCGACCTCCAGGGTCTCCTAGCAACACAAAGCTGGGTCAGTCCCCGTCTGCTGCGGTTCTGATGAAAACAGAACCCAAACATGTTCAGTCTCACAGCGGGGACGTCTCGGTCCATGACGGCCCGCAGGATCTCCATCCACTGCGTCATCACGGCGTTGTTGATCAGCTGCAGAGGCAGCGAGTACTGCGGGACAGCATCAAGGTTAGAGCAGGACACTGACTCTACAGAAGCTCCAGCTGAAAGACGCCACCGTTTCTACGCCGCAGCGTGAGGGGCGGGGCTCCATGGACATACCTGGACCAGAGCGTGGAAGATCTTCAGGACCTGCTTCTGGATGAGGACAGAGAAGATGGTGACGTCAGGGAGCAGCTGGCTGATGAGCTGCTGGATCCTGGGCAGAAAGATCTGCATGGCTGCCAGCAGCGGCTCCCGCTCCTCCGCCTTCCTGTACCTGAAGCCCACAGACAGCAGAGTTCCTCTCTGTGCAGACGGAGAGCTGCAGCGCTAACCTCATCGCCTTACTCACTCGTATGTTTTGACCAGTTGGTAGAGAGCCAGCAGGCTGCCGTACCAGCTGCCGCTGCTCTGAGACTGCAGATACGCGTCGATCTTATCCACGACGGCGGTCCAGCGGCCGGGGAAGTCGTGCTTCACGATGGCTCTCAGACACATGGTCAGCTGGGCCCTGAGGAGAGAGGACACCAGGGGACTGTGATGGTCTGTGACCCGGAGGAAAACATCTGTCTGCCATTTCACTGTGAACATTTTCACCAGAAACCTCCACAGCGGGGGGCTGAGCGACAGAAAGAAGCGAGGAGATAAAATAAGGCAGTAGGAAGGAGGAACAAGTGAAGAGGGAAGGGGCTAAGGAAGGGCAGAACATTAAGGCCTGTCCCAATTCACCCCCTAGCCCTAATTTCATTCCTGTCCCTGAATCTGTGCTTTACCCTGAGGGTAGTGGTGTCCCAATTCCTCTGAATGGGCCTAGTGGTTAGAGCAGAGCGCTGTGCTCTGAGAGGGTCACTAGAACCCGGTTTGATCCCCACAGCCTGCACTCTGAGTCCCTGAGCAAGACCCTTAACCCCACACTGCTTCCTGGGCGCCGCACAATGGCAGCCCACTGCTCCACAAGGGGAGGGGTTAAATGCAGAGAGGGAATTCTTTCAATGTGAGATCAATAAAGCTCAATAATTATTTTTTTTGTATTGAAATCCTATTCAGGTGTCAGATCATTGCACACAGGCTGGTCATAAAGTAAGGCTTTGCTTTCTCACTGCGGTGACTTTTTTTTTAACCTCTATTATTCTGACCCAGTCAAATATGGGACATCGTGGCCGTTTCTCATTATGTGTAATTGTGCGTTCTTGTGTACTCATAATACATCATCAACCTAGTACTGCTCCAATTCACAAGAACGCTGAGAACAGACAAAGTTCCCAGATGTTGTTCTGGCCCCCCTGACTATTTACTGATTCAATGCGTACTTTAAAAAGTTCTGATGTTGAGAGGAACGCTGCAACCAGGGGACCTCCGAGGCGCAGCCAGCACTAACGTTAGCCCGTCTAGGGCTGGGTACTGAACTTCGGTTCTTTTATGGTACCGACCGAAATGCTTCGGTTCTACAGAGTATCGAAACATGCCTCGTCTTTCGGTACCAAGTTTCGGTGATTGGCTGTAACGCTTAACGTGATTGCGTCATCCAGGAAAAATACACAGGTGGTCCCGCCTACAGCCAGGGTTCATGTGTATCTGTTGTGAACTGGTTGCAGCATCATGGAACCCCTTTAAAATGCCCCCCAGGTCAAAAGTGCGGCTTCACTTCATAGATGCCAATAGTGCGCAATGCAATACATCGAGCACGGAAACAATTTAAGAGCAGAAAGTTGCACGGTGTTTGACTGCAAGAAGAGCGGACCATCCTCTCAGCAGCGCGTGGGCGGAGCAAAGCCAGAGCGGAGTGAATCATGCTGCTTTCACACCGGACGCAGCAGGAGCAGCAAAATCCCAATGAAAGTGCGCATTCAGCTCGGCAAAGAACTCATGCTCTTCCTCAACACTGAAGTCCTCAGACATTTTTCTTTCGTTGTTTCTTTCTTTGCACAGGTAAACAGCACATTTCTTCTTCTACGCTTGCATTATTGGCAGAGCAGACGCTGAATGCGCACTTTCATCTGGTTTGGTCTGCCGGCTTCCGTAGACTCGTGAACGCGCAGGTGCACGCTTTCAGGAAATCCTATACACTACTGTTTATGCTCTAAAAACATTCTAAATGACTTCGTTTCGAGTAAATTCTGGATGCTACCCACTCAGGACACTTGGAATACATTGGACGAGCAGTATGGAGGAATATTGACACGTTTTTTGTGGACTTTTATGGACCTTTCTGTCTCGGGCGCCATAGACCTCCATTATTTGAATGTCAGCAGACAGCAAGAAGCCTCCCAGATCTCCAGATGCATTTGAGATATCAAAAAAGTACTCCAGAGTGTTGTTCAGCATGGGGGTGAGTAGAAAATGAAGGCTAATCATGTTTTGGGTGTACTATTCCTTTAATGGTTAGGGCTAGTTAAGCTCTGGTAATGGTTAGGTTAATAATTACGGTTAGTTAAGCTCAGGCAATTGTTAGGTTAATGGTTAGGGTTAGTTAGGCTCTGGTAATGGTTAGGTTAATAACTACGGTTAGTTAAGCTCAGGCAATTGTTAGGTTAATGGTTAGGGTTAGTTAGGCTCTGGTAATGGTTAGGTGAATGGCCCAGAAATAGATGGAAATGACCAAAACAAATCAAGAGAGGTGAGTCATGGCCCTCTCTACTCCTAGAATGAGCAGACAGGGGGGGTTGGTCATACCGTATGGTCTCTGGGCAGCGGATGATGCCCTCCACTATGTGGTCTCGGATCTGCTGCCGGTCGTTTTCGTGAATGTTGAAGGGGAAGACCACCTCCCCCACAGACGGCTCCCTGTCCTGCCAGTACTGACTCACCATGTTCTTCAGGTAGATGGCAGCTGGACACACACAGCTCTGATTAATAATGCAGCCATGAACAGGGAGGTGATTCTGATCAACACATACCCATGTTGATGATAAAGTAAGTACACCCTCTAACAGAAAAATCATTGGTTCAGGTTCTATACTAACATGACCTCAGACTGGGACTAATGTGTTCTATCTAGCAGGGTCTCTGTTAAATCTTCCCAATAAATGAAAGGTTTCCGGTCTTACCTGCTTGGCGGACAGGGAACTCGACCTGCTCTGACACGATAATCTGGAGCAGTGTGGGGGCAAAGTTGATGATCTTATAGGACTGAAACAGAGGAGGGAGAAAGTAAGTAAGAACATTTAGATTAGAAAGGAACCATTTTATTGCAGAACATAAGCAGAGAGAAACTGAGATCACTTTAACCACAAAGAAAGGAAACATCTTCCTGGCCTAAAGGAAGAGAAGGAGCCAATCATGCTGAAGGGACTTCCAACTGGTTCCTCTGGAAGAAACCAGTTGATCTTCCAAGATGAAAAGAACTTCATCGGAGGCATTTTAACTGGACAGACCGAGTCCATGAAAACCGAGTCATGTTTATAGAACAGTATGATCCAGTCTGGTTGATCACAGGATGGATGAGGGATTAATGACTGTCCCGCATGGTCCGGTTCGGTTCGGGTCTCTGCGGTCCTGCGTGGTGCGGTTCGGTCTGCGTGGTCCGGTTCGGGTCAGCGTGGTCCTGTTAGGGTCAGCGTGGTCCGGTTCGGGTCAGCGTGGTCCGGTTCGGGTCAGCGTGGTCCGGTTAGGATCACTGCTGCACTGCGTGGTCTGGTACACTCTGCATGGTCCGATTCGGGTCAGCGTGGTCCTGTTAGGGTCAGCGTGGTCCGGTACACTCTGCATTGTCCGGTTCGGGTCAGCGTGGTCCGGTACACTCTGCATTGTCCGGTTCGGGTCAGCGTGGTCCGGTTCACTCTGCGTGGTCCGGTTCGGGTCAGCGTGGTCCGGTTCACTCTGCGTGGTCCGGTTCGGGTCAGCGTGGTCCGGTTCGGGTCAGCGTGGTCCGGTACACTCTGAGTGGTCCGGTTCACTCTGCGTGGTCCGGTTCGGGTCAGCGTGGTCCGGTTCACTCTGCGTGGTCCGGTACACTCTGCGTGGTCCGGTACACTCTGAGTGGTCCGGTTCGGGTCAGCGTGGTCCGGTTCGGGTCAGCGTGGTCCGGTTCGGGTCAGCGTGGTCCGGTTCACTCTGCGTGGTCCGGTTCGGGTCAGCGTGGTCCGGTTCGGGTCAGCGTGGTCCGGTACACTCTGAGTGGTCCGGTTCACTCTGCGTGGTCCGGTTCGGGTCAGCGTGGTCCGGTTCACTCTGCGTGGTCCGGTACACTCTGCGTGGTCCGGTACACTCTGAGTGGTCCGGTTCGGGTCAGCGTGGTCCGGTTCGGGTCAGCGTGGTCCGGTTCGGGTCAGCGTGGTCCGGTTCACTCTGCGTGGTCCGGTTCGGGTCAGCGTGGTCCGGTTCGGGTCAGCGTGGTCCGGTACACTCTGAGTGGTCCGGTACACTCTGCGTGGTCCGGTTCGGGTCAGCGTGGTCCGGTTCGGGTCAGCGTGGTCCTGTTAGGGTCAGCGTGGTCCGGTTCGGGTCAGCGTGGTCCTGTTAGGGTCAGCGTGGTCCGGTTCGGGTCAGCGTGGTCCGGTTCGGGTCAGCGTGGTCCTGTTAGGGTCAGCGTGGTCCGGTTCGGGTCAGCGTGGTCCTGTTAGGGTCAGCGTGGTCCGGTTCAGGTCAGCGTGGTCCGGTTCACTCTGCGTGGTCCAGTACATTTTGCGTGGTCCGGTACACTCTGCATTGTCCGGTTCGGGTCAGCGTGGTCCGGTTCGGGTCAGCGTGGTCCGGTTCAGGTCAGCGTGGTCCGGTTCACTCTGCGTGGTCCAGTACATTTTTCGTGGTCCGGTTCGGGTCAGTGTGGTCCGGTTCGGGTCAGCGTGGTCCGGTTCAGGTCAGCGTGGTCCGGTTCACTCTGCGTGGTCCAGTACATTTTGCGTGGTCCGGTTCGGGTCAGCGTGGTCCGGTTCGGGTCAGCGTGGTCCGGTTCAGGTCAGCGTGGTCCGGTTCACTCTGCTAGGTCCAGTACATTTTGCGTGGTCCGGTTCGGGTCAGCGTGGTCCGGTTCGGGTCAGCGTGGTCCGGTTCAGGTCAGCGTGGTCCGGTTCACTCTGCGTGGTCCGGTACATTTTGCGTGGTCCGGTTCGGGTCAGCGTGGTCCGGTTCAGGTCAGCGTGGTCCGGTTCACTCTGCTAGGTCCAGTACATTTTGCGTGGTCCGGTTCGGGTCAGCGTGGTCCGGTTCGGGTCAGCGTGGTCCGGTTCGGGTCAGCGTGGTCCGGTTCAGGTCAGCGTGGTCCGGTTCACTCTGCGTGGTCCGGTACATTTTGCGTGGTCCGGTTCGGTCAGCGTGGTCCGGTTCACTCTGCGTGGTCCGGTTCGGGTCTGCGTGGTCCGGTTCGGGTCTCTGTAGTCCGGTCCGGGTCTACGTGGTCCGGTTCGGGTCTACGTGGTCCGGTTCGGGTCTGCATAGTCCGGGTCTCTCAGGCCCAGCAGCGGCTGCTTCCTCTTAGCTTTCCCACCTGATTGAGCTCATTCTCCGCCGCCAGCCGCAGGTTGGGGTCGATGGTTCCCTTCAGAGCCTGGATGATCCGGTTCGGGTCCATAGCGGCTGCGTTCGGTGGCCCTGCAGGGTTGTAGCGTAGCGCTAGCTCAGCGTTAGCTAAGCTAACTGCTCTGCAGAAAACAGAGAAACTAACTTCCGGGGCAGAGACCAGCGGCTTGCGGCCGTCCATTCACTGTCAGACCGGGGGATGGACCCGAACCACTGGTCCTGGAGGAGAACCGATTCAGCGGGATGATAGAACCGGGTCAGCAGGATGATAGAACCGGGTTAGCGGGATGGTCACCGCCGCAAAGTAAACAAACCGGAGCGGTTCTTCTTCTTCTGCTACTGCTTCATCTTCTTCTTCTTTTCTATTAGGGTGGTTAGAAAGCAGCTTCAGGCTGCATACCGCCACCTGCTGTACAGCAGTAGAATATAATATAATATAATATAATGTAATGTAATAGAATAGAATAGAATAGAATAGAATAGAATAGAATAGAATAGAATAGAATAGAATAGAATAGAATAGAATAGAATGTGAAATTTTGTGGCGAAATTGTGGTGATTTCCGCAAAAAGATAAATAAAAAATGGTCATAATAATGTGGACCTTAGAAAAATGTCTAAGAATAAATAACAGTGAAGAGTTAAAAGGTGAACAATACAATCCTGTAAAGTGTTTTAATAATATCAAACTGGAGAATAAATAACCAATATCCAGCTATGGACATTTTTACAGTAATGGATATTTGAAAGTAGCAGCAACATCAGAGATGTGCAAAATGACAGCAGCAGGTTATTTAACTGACAAAGGTAGAAACTGTGCAAAGTCAGCATGAATGGAACACCTGATTGAGGTTGTTGGGAACAGTGGTGGTTCTAGAGTCTTCCAGCTTCTGGGAGGAAGGAACTGTGATAACGCTCCCTGGTGCATGTAAGCCCCATTTCCGCTACCCTTGGAACCATGCAGAAGTCGGTCCGAGCACAGTAACTGTGGTAACTATTGAGTGTAATTGGCACTCAGAACTGACCCGGACTGTGCCAGACGCTTCCGAACCGCCCTAACATGGCACTAGTTCATCAGTAGAGCTCGGCGCGGTTCAGTTCTGGCTTGGTTCTCAATGAGCAGACCGCCTCATCTCCTTACAGTCAGCCTCCGTAATCATTCCTAAAATCCTAGCTTCCTACCACGCCACACGATTTCCAGTGATGATTAGCAGTGTGATGAACCTCAACGTCTGTCGTTGTTTCCTGCATCTGGAAGCCCTGATTAGACAATCGTTTGTCGTATCCACTTCCCAAAAGCTGAATCTGTCAAGTAAATTCACCAAAGGCTGCCTTCTTCTCCTGACTCTCTGCAAACTTCCTGAATGTTACTGGCGCCGCCATGTTGGTTTGCTTGTTTCCTTCTAGAGAGCTGTAGTACCGTAGATCGCCACTAGGAGGTGCGGAACCGTGCTAGTGTGGCATGGAAATGGTCATAAGGAACCGAGCTGTTTCAGAGGGTGGTGTAAGTGGGGCTTTAAGGCTGATTTATACTCAGAAACCAGGTCGTCTGCGCGTGCGTCGCAGTGAACGCAGATATGCCCCGCCCACTCCGCAAACAATCTGCTGCACCTCTCCAAAATTGTAGGTGACCGCAGACAGGAGGCCTCTGATTGGTCAATTCGCCAATCGCTCTACACTATGCATATTTTCCTGTTTGGTTCCTTTCCGGCTTGTTTTGTTTTTCTGACCGCCATTGTGGAAAACGACTGGTGAAGATGGAGCAGTTAGAAGAGCGAGGTGAGCGAGAACGCTGGGACCCTTTTTCCACCTGGATCTACGCTCTTTTTGGCCCACATGTCCCTCCGTTGTAGCACAAACTTGCCCCTACTTCCTCACCGCCTTGGCCGTATCTAGACCCACAGCTAGTTCCTCTGGCATTGTGGCGTGGAATAACATAGCGCAGACCACGCTTTAATATTGAGCATAAATCTAAAATATCTGCGACAAGCTCACTCCTTTCTATCTCCTCTTTCTTTCATTTCTCTTTTTTCTTTCTTGTCTCTCCCAGGTTGGGGTCTGAACTGCCCCCTCTCCCACGCACATCTCTATTACACGCTAAGTGCGGAGTGCATTCCCCTGTCCTGCCCTCCCTCCGCTGGCTGGCGTCGGGGCTCCACTGGTGGAGCTCGGGGTTTGGGGGTAGCTGCCCGGGTGGCTGCTGGTTCATTCCTGGCGGCCTCTCCGCGGGGCCCGGTCGCCCGGGGCCTGGCTGGGGCTCCTGCGTGGGGTTCGGGCGTCCCTGGGGCCTCGGATCCCTGGGGCCCAGGGCCGGATTCACTTCGGGGGTGGCTGGCTGCTGGCGGCATTGCGGTGGCAGGGGGACTTCCTTTGGGGCACCTCTTCGGCTCTCCACAACCACTATTGAGCATTTTTCTATGGATAAACTTTACATGCACAAGTGCACTTTCACAATTAACTACAGGTGCTAGGCTCCAGGTACTCAGAGATTCACTTCCACATACAATTCCCACATTCTGATCTTCAGGTAACACAGAGTACATGTCAGATTAAATAATACTACTTCAGTGATAGTATCTAGGTGTTACTTTATTGTATGTCTCGTACCATGTCTGTTGGTTGTGCTGTTCTTTTTCCATCTCTTTGCAGGTGATGAAGCAGACTGAAAATGTTTTATCATTATCTCCCTTTTATCTCCTCTTTGTTTCATCTTTTCCCTTTTTTTCTTCTTCTTCTGTTTTTCCTCTTCTGTTTTATTAACATCGCAGCGTCCATATAATCTGTAAAACTCCCTGCATAATTATAATAAAGCTATTTATGTGCATAAATCAAGCGGAACACTATGGCGATAGCCGTACTGCTCCACTTGTGAAAGTAAAACCTGTTGGGCTCTTTTTGGCATCAAGACAATTATTCTTATTGGCACATTGCGAGACAGGACACTGTAAAAAAAAAAAAAAAAAAAAGGGAAAGGTGAATTAAAGTGGCTGCAGGATGAAGTGGGACGACTGACGAGTCGAAATTCAGCCACTTTAAGCTCCTCTCACCACATACTTTCTCATCACCATATCATTTGCCTTTTTCTCAACACGCTTTTCTGAATTTTGTTTTTTGTTTTTTTGTAATTTTAGGTTAATTCCTCCATTTTACTAGTTTTTTCCTCTTTTAATTTTTTAAACTTTTAATTTCACCTTATTTTATGCTCTACTTACTTTGTTTTTGTAAATAATTTAATAGTTTTTAGCTATGCGTTATTAACTTCCTGTAAGAGTTTAGAGTTTAGTTTATTTAAAATCACCATTGAAATTAAAAATTATTCTTATAACTTAGTATAGTGTTAGTTTAATATATAATATGTTTAGTATCAGGTTTAAACACTTCCTTTTGCCTTCTAATTTTAACCCATTTCTCTCTGGAGCTGAGGTGATTTCTTGCAACTCTCCTCTTCATCCATCCATCATTTTAAACAGCTTTTTTTTCTCCTTTTTTTGCCACCTCGAGGTCTTGCATAGTCTTTCAACTATGCAAGAAAAGCTTGATAACTTTCTTATTTAGATTCATTTCTGCATCTTGCAATGAAGGAAATACTTGCTTTGTTCAAACATGGTCTGACACAGTAGTAGCAGCCACTCGGATAGATTAGCTCCATCTCTGGTATGTTGCTTTGTCCCTGTGCCAGGAATGTCTGAGGAGTGTGTCATGTGTCATTTTAATCTGAATTCGATTTTTCTAAATGAAAAACTAAAAGAATTTGATTTCCTTTTCCTCCAAAAATATTAATACACATGTATATCACGTAAGCCTTATGAACAATGAAATCAGCGATTTTCATCCCCTTAAATGTTAAAAATAAATGTTTCCCTACAGATTACCAAATATATGGGATGTAGTTTGGAAAAATGCAAATAAAATACATAAAAGCTATGAGTTTATTAACTAAAATTATAGTTTTGCAAAAAATAAATAAGTAATTCCTGAGGATTTGACTCAAAATGGCATATTTTCCTGAGAGTGAAATAACAATAATAATAGAAGCAGCTTCTAGCTCATAAACTCCCAGCAAACAGGAATAAAACCTTAGAACTGCAGCGCTTTAAATCCTGATTAAACCTGACAGATCTGAACATGAAAAGTTCAGTTTACAGTCTAACCTTTCTTTAATTTCTATATTAGTAACTTTTACCTATGAAATCCTATTTTACTGAGTAAATTCTATTTTCCATTGAGCTGCACTCTGCTTCTCTTTCTGCTCACCTTCAGCTTTTTGAACTGTTTCTACTGAAATCTGCTTGATCAATAACCTGGCCTTGTCCCAGTTTTTAAACCTGACATTCATCTGTCCAATGTGTCCAGCAGATGGCGCTCATGCCTCAGCCACCCAGTTTATTCTGAAGCTGCTTGCTGTGGTTTAAAAAAAAAAATAAATCAATCCATTGGCCTTTATTCCCAAGTTTAAAGACGTTTCTCTTCCATCCAGGAAACTTTTTCAATTCAAAATGTCAGAAATAGTGTTGAGTTCCAGGTTTTATCCAGCAGCCCAACAAAGCCTTGTTTTTGTTTAGAAAACATGCAAATAGAAATGGACGAATGGGTCCACCCTTTGGAATGGGGGTCGTTTGGGTCATTATTGGCCTGGCAGACCAGGTGAGATGTTTGACCACCTGCATGGCGATGAGGTCATGGCTATGAGACATGAGTCCTCCTCCTCAGTTTAAGCTCAGTTCTTGTCTTTTTTTAAGTCATATTTTTATTGTATTTTATATAAATCTATCTGCCATATAACCAATACAATCAGCTACAGCAACAAACGCCCTCACAGACACACATCTGCATTCAGTCCTTTAAGTATGCAGAAGGTTTAACCTTACAGGTGCTGGTCATAAAATTAGAATATCATGAAAAAGTAGATTGATTTCAGTAATTCCATTTAAAAAGTGAAACTTGTATATTATATTCATACATTACATACAAACTCATATATTTCAGATGTTTATTTTGTTTAATTTTGATGATTACAAATGACAACAAATGAAAATCTCAAATTCATCATATCAGAAAATTAGAATATTACTGAAGACCAATAAAAACAAAGGATTTATAGAAATGTTGGCCAACTGAAAAGTATGAACATGAAAAGTATGAGCATATACAGCACTCAGTATTTAGTTGGGCCTCCTTTGGCCTGTATTACTGCAGCAATGCGGCGTGGCATGGAGTCGATCAGTCTGTGGCACTGCTCAGGTGTTATGATAGCCCAGGTTGCTCTAATAGTGGCTTTTAGCTCTTCTGAATTGTTGGGTCTGGTGTATTGCATCTTCTTCTTCACAATACCCCATAGATTTTCTATGGGG